GAATGCCAAATGCCAAATGCCAAAAAAGATACTTGCAAGAGGGGGTGACAGTCGTAGGATGCACCTTTGGAGAAAACCTTTCAAATTTCCATTTTACTTTGGGCCCATCCATTGTCCCTCAAACGTACACATGTGGGAAGGAAGCCAAACATAAAAATGGTCAGATGCACTTAGCTCTTTTATCAGTTTTTCTTGAGCTCATATATCGCTTTCGACATATGGAATTGTCAGCGAGATTCTAATACTACTCCCCTGCCTTTCAGCATAGTAAATGCTCATCATAATAAATAAATCTTGTTAAATGACTTTTCACATTTCGACGTGATCCTTGGGGACTTTTTCAATTCATTGTTTTTTTTAATATAGATTCATACCATATCAACATAAATAAAAATCATTATTATAATCCTAACATACGCGAAAGGAGCTTATCTGGAATTAAAATATTTGATTCAACTCATTCATAGTGACAGTCATGTTTAAAGTAGTATTAAAAAGATTAACATCCTGCCAACATATTCAAAATGAAAGTCAACACTTGAGGAAATGGGAAACTTGCATATATAAAATTGGGTGAACCTCATTTAGGTAAAACTACTTAACCTTTCATCTCACATATAAAATAACTCATAATCTTTTTCGACAACTCTTCATGTGTTAAAAATAGTTTATATCTCTTAAACCTGAAAATACAATTTTCTGGGCTTAATATAATGTTCCTTTACTTTCAACGTTCACTCCATGTGTGACATTCTTGTAAATAAATTTAGGGTGGGTTGGCACGAAAAGTTATCGCGTTTGGGAAAATCCTTAGCGGCTGTCTTTTCATCTCGATACGGTGACAGACAATTATAATTGTATTTAATTCTTTTGATTGATGCTTTGTGGGCTTTTCACGAAGACGCATTTCCCACCCAACCGCAAAGCAAAGATACTGGCACAAGAGCACGAAAATCGACGTCAGCAAGGTGTGCGGTTGGCATCCCCTGTCACAGGCGAAAATAAATATTATTTATGGGTCCCATTGATAAATATAATTTATTTCTCTAATTTATACCATGGGAATTTCCTATATGCTAACAATCCTGCGGTTAAAGCATCCCCTTCCCTCTTTGAAAGCGTAGGTGACAATGCTTGAGTTATTGAATTAAATGTGTGGCCCACAAATAAGTGCTATAGATATTATTAAATGCCTAAGCCTTGTTTACTGATTTAAATCTAAAATAATTCTGGTAAATTTAATAATTATAACGATACCATAGAAATATGGTATCCTGTTATTATCGGCTAAATTCCACATGATTGGCCCTGATTTTAGTTTTTCATTTAATCACAATCATTTTAATCTTTCGGAATAAAATCAAAATTTCTTTGTTCGTTAGCCCTTGAGTAGCAGCAACTCTTAAAACTCCACCTTGGGAAACTTACGATTCACCGTGCACCTTTATGTGTCTCGTCGATGGAAGAACGCCAAGCCATTGGCTTTTATTTTCGAAGTGCATTAAACACTCTAGAACTGAGTTATGATTCCTGCGTTGGTACGTGAGGAAAAGTCTGGGACACAATTCAATTTAATTTTGTTGTTCCCCAGAGCGTGAATTAAAAGCATTCGTCATAAGCAAGAGCCGTTTCATTTGCTGGTCCATCCCTTGTTGAAATATAATCCACAGTCATATATTTTTATTGGCAAGGAAAAAGGATTGGAACCTGGTCTGGCCAACGGTGCGAATGGTTTTATTTATGAGTCGAGTGGGCATGCTGATGTTCTCGAATACATTAGCCCAATCAGGTGCAACGGCTCACAACGGTGCAGATAAAATGGTTTCCATAAACACGAGTGATTCCATAAGGTTTAGATTGCGAGTATCATAAAACATTTGTATTAAATAAAAAGGCTAATGGCTTGTGAAAACCACCATTGATGCATCACGAATAATACATTAATTAAAAACCATTTGAAAAACATATGTGTGTAAATCTATTCCCATTTGCCATTTAACATTTTATGGGAAGAATTTATCTTTATTTTCGCACTCAGGCAATGGTTTATTTATTTGGCATCACATAAAATATTATCGTATGTCAATCAATGTCACATCTTAATTAATATAGTTTGAAGCAGAGAATCTTTGGCTATGATTTTTTTTTTTTTTTAACTTTTCAATTGCGATGTGGCTAAAATTAAAATGATTTAAGTTATTTTTATTAATGTTAAGGATAATAATCAATAGAACTACATTAAAAGCGTTAAGTTAAGTTTATTTTCCTATGCTCACGACTGTGAAAATCTCTCTTTAAATTGTTTAAATATTATAATAAATCAGGGGAATAAAATAAACTGGTGCTGAGCATCCAAGGGCCAAGGGCTTAGCTCTGCAGTTAACAAGTAAAAAAAACAGGCTCAAAGCCCCAGCTCAAACAAAACAAAAACAAGTTTTCATGCGTTGAACGGATACAATTTTACACCTGGTTTGGGGAGGTGTAACAGAGGTTATGCCTTACAACATATAGTATATATATTTATTTGTATAGGATATACCCTCTTGCACACTTTCACTCTTTCAGGGGGCTGTTCGGGATTCTCCGGAGTGCGATTACCGCTAGCTATTCTGTGCTAACAGTTGCTTTGAGCCATCGGTGCTTTCAAAGTTTGCCTCTGCCACTTGCCATTCAATGGAAAATGTTGAATTCGTTAACTAAAACCAGCACGCACTCGATAATCCCCCAATCGCTATACAGTGGGCGGTATCTATTAAAATATACCCAAGGTCTGTGGAAACCGGCATGAATTGCAAAGCCCTTTCGCATTTTCTATTATTTATGAAAGTTAAAAATCTTTGCAGCGAAAATCTTTAGAGGGGAATTTCCTAGATTTCATTCAGCGCCAAAACTATTTAATGTATTGTTCGAAAATAAGGAAATATATATAATTTCTCTGATATTTAAGAATTGTATTTAACCTCTTAACTAGAGGTTATTACCATAAGAAAGAACTTGTAAGAACTTTATTATATAGACAATTTTTCAACAAAAAAATAAATATTTAGCTATTGCCTTTTTGTGGTAACCAAAGATGATTCCATTGTACCCATGATTGCCGTGCAGGTATAGAAATTCCTTAGGTGTCAGCAGGTTGAATGAGAGTATCAGCAAAAAAAGAGTCGCATCTAGGATTAAAGTATAAGAAAGTTTTATTTTTGATAGTCCAGGGTAAATAACAAAGTGATTAGCCCACCTGACAAGTATTAAAGTACCCCAATAAAGCCTAATAAATCACATAGACTTGTCAACAGATCATTTAAGAATCGATTATAAATAGCTACCCAGTTAATCTTTAATAAGCAGCCCAAAAATTCGCAACGAAAAATTCGCTCGGAAATGAGTTCTTTTTCTCGAGAATGTAATTAAGGCATCATCAGACGATTTCATCAGTTCGTTGTCCGCCTACAAGGTGCCGAAGTGGGCGGGGTAATTAAAATGGCGAAAATAAATACCTATTAAGAACGTTTACACTGATTGACACTTTAAGGCAATTTCCGGCCATAATTCCCTGCCACAAAATGGTGCCCCAAGAAGGTGTTTCCCCCACGATGGCGGCACAACCAAATGTCGAGCTATCGATTTGTGGCGGGATCGGGGAGTGTATTTAGGCCAGGCCCGACACGCTTTACATTAATTTGAAAATTTTGACTGCGTCCGCTTTAAGTTGCCCTCCTTCCCAGAAGGCACTTTAAATAAGGGTTAGATGGGCGTAAAAAGGAGTGCTAAGTAGCCTAAATGTTGAAAATAAGTTTAAGAATTACATTTTCATTTGGTTAAAATGATACTCAAACTATTCAATTTTAGGTTTTTTGAATTATGAGGTTAAAATATTTTAGAAAATTACTAGTTTTTCTTTAAGCGGAACGATTTATATAGAGTATATTTTATATTGTATATATATTTCTGATTAGCATATAAATTCATAAAATGAAAAACTACATTTCAACTTAATGCAATGATAACCATTGCGTATGAGTAATTTCTGGGCGTTTAAAACCAATACTATTTAATACATAATTTACAAAAGAGGTCAGAAATGTTTTGCCTAGATTCGCAAACAAATTAAATGTTCATTTAATTTGTAGCTACTGGCCTGACAGATAGACAGTCATGGGGCATCAATCCCGCCTCCTGGGTGACAGCTTTTTGCCACTGACTGTGCTGAGCTCACTGTTGTGGTTGACGAAGCTGCCACATGCGTCTGGTATTTTATGCTATATGTGTCTAGTCAGGACATTTGCCGTGGCATCCTTTCATTTGTGCACCGTCATGCTGCACGGCTGTGTGTTTGAGACACGTTTGTATGTGACTAAATCTACTACATCCTAGGCAAATTGTTTTAATTTCTATTAAAAACTTTGCTAGAAAATATTAAATTTCTAAAAACATGCAAACATGCTTTTTATTGAGAATGTTATAATTAATTTTACTTCAAATTAGTTTCATAGAAAATTTGTTTTTACTTAGGACATTTTTTTTGTATGTTTTAATTTCATAAAAATGTATTATTGTTAAAATTAAATTAAAAATGTATGAATAAGCTTACACACTTTAAATGAATAATTTAAATGAATTAAATTAATTAAATACATTTTATAAGTTTACTTTAATTTAAGTTTTGGTTAGTTTTTGTTTCCTGTTTCATGTTGATTAGGTAGTAATAGTTTGTTTAAATTTAAAAAGCAGTATTCCATACACTTCAGTCCATATAAAACATTTTCTGTTAAATTGTTAAATACTGGGAATACCATTTCTCCTAGTCAAGGTAGACCTGTTTCATAAATTAACCACCTATTTGATTTTGTGCTTTAATTCAAATTCGTTTTTCTATGATTATTCATTAATTTTGATCGTATTATTTTATAGATCATAAAATATTATAGCAGTTTCAAGTATCGGTCACACTACTTATGAGAGACGACCGAAGAGCGGATCAATGGCTGAGACGTTATTTAATTCTCAACCGCCCGCAGCTCTCTCTATATGCGATAAGAAAAGTTAAAAACAAAAACAGCTGTAATACTCGAACGACAATAAATACTATTAGCAGGTGAAAATCCACATTTTGATTAGATTGAACTGAAAAACTAGAGCAACCTGAGGGGAACACAACGTCTTCAGTCCAGGCGGCAACATTCCTATTTAAATTTTTGAATAATTACTATCCAATGAGTGTTAGATTGTTAGGGAAGTAGGTCAGTTTAAAAGTTTGATTAGATTGAGATCTGTAGGAGGAACAGGTACCCAAAAACTTTTTAAACTGGCAGCATATTAACCTGTTAAGCGTGTAGGATATAATTTATTTTATAAGAACAAGTATATTTCCGGTTAATAATTTACGATGAGCCAGGTAAAATCCGTACTTTGCGTGGGCTGCACTGTGATCGACTTTGTGACCATCAATGGCAGTTATCCCAAGGAGGACACCGATCGGCGTTGCCTGGATGGGTTTTGGCAACGTGGCGGGAATGCCTCTAATGTGAGCACGGTGCTCCGGGTTCTCGGTTCCAGGGTGGACTTCTTTGGAATGCTCAGCAGATCGGATGCATTTCGAGTGCTCCTCGAGGATCTCCGAAAGCGGGAGATCGGCATTACGAATTGCCCCCAGACGGACAGGGATCCGCCCTTCTCTTCGGTGATCTTGGCTCAGGATTCCGGCACCCGCACTATTATCCACTGCAATAAGGACTACCCGCAGACCACCTGGGAGGACTTCAGCAAGGTGGATCTCTCTCGGTACGAATGGGTGCACTTCGAGGCTCGCAACACGCCGCACACATTAAAAATGATGCAGAGCATTAGGGAACACAACGAAAGGAGCGGCCAACGCATCATCATCTCATTGGACTTGGAAACTAGGTACGAACAGAACCAGGAACTGTGCGCACCCTGCGACTTTGTGGTTTTCTCTAAGGAGCTTGCCGCCCAGTTGGGATGGAAGACACCGCGGCAAACGTGTCAGGAGCTGGCCGCCAATATTCCAGGAAGGGGGCCCAAACCCGTTTTTATATGTCCCTGGGGAAGTGCCGGAGCCGGAGCATTGGATGCCAATGGCAACTACCACGAAATGGCTTCATATAAGCAGCAGAATGTGGTGGACACACTGGGAGCCGGAGACAGCTTCATGGCCGGATTCATACACGCCACTCTCGAGGGTCAGCGAAGCCTAACAGAAGCTGTGGACTTTGCCAACCGAGTTGCCAGCCACAAAATCACCGGATTCGGATACGATCATATTGCACAACTCAGCTTAAACTAAAACTTATCTTAAGTCCATCTTGGATTATTTGCATAACACTCTTCGAAAGAATTTATTAACATTAAAACTCGCCAGACAGAAATAAGTTTTTGTTTAAAAATCAAAAAAATATTACTAATGCTAAGCACCAATATTATTAATTTTTACCAGAGATTAAAATATTTGTTTAAACAAACATAAGGACATCGTGTTACAAATTTTATAATAAACATTAAAAGGCCGTATTGGATTTATCAATTATTGAATGAAAAAAGTTTATAACCTCTGCAAAGTAGAGAAAACCAATTAGAACATCCTTTGCTAAAAAGGCAGTCAGTTTGGAAATGAACAGCGCTTATGTATTCTCACAAATTTTATAAACTTGTCAAATTCATTATGATTATTTTATAATTATTTTCGTGATTATTGGTTAGGCAGAGACATCTTCTGTTCATGGTCTTCTGGTACTTGACGTCAAATCATCCGCTCCGTTAAAAGGGTAATATCCACATCGCAAATCAAGAGCGATCATGGCAGGATGAGTGCAGGTGCTCTGCTCTTTCGTGGTTGTTCAGTTTGGAGCCTCTCGTTGTTGTCTATGTAAATTTTATGAAGTCTCCCCGTTGGTCTTCAATATCCGAACCAATGGCCGATGCATTGATTCCTATGCCGCTTGAGGCACTGCCGGATTTTTGCTGGCTTTTCATTCCCTCAACGAGCTGTTTAAGGATTCGAATACGATTTATCAGATAATCTCTTTTAACACCAAAACAATGTACCAACCTTCGATCTCAGTCGCTTGAGTTTGCGCAATCGTTCCAACCAATTCGATGCATAAGGATGCTTTTTCTGCACACTTTGGTAGACTAGCGAGGCGAGCTACAGGATAATGATATTATTATTTAGTTAGATTACACACTCTAAGCCCCAACTATACTCACATTGGCGTGAAGGGCCATCTGTCGGGCCAGCAGAGGAGCACTGCGATCGGAGACGATCCGGTGCTCTGCATGGCACACGAACTTTGATATTTCCGATCGGGCCTTCACATACACCCTGTTCGAGTTCAACTCGAGTGGCTCCACGATCACGCAGGCGTAATTGAATTGGCCCTGAAAATAATTGAATAATAAAAATATTCAAAAGTTTCTTACTTTTGGCATTCGAAAAACATTAAATTGAGTTACAATTTTCATTATTATTTTTTGATAGAATAAGAAAGTAGATAGATAACAAAGGTATCTACAACAAATAGAAAAACAAAAATAATATGACAAGCGTTTCAAACTATTTAATGTTTTAAATTCTCAAATGCTTAATTACTCAAAAATTTGTTAAACATTGAAAATTTCGTTAGATGTTAACTGATTATAACTCACGGATATTGTGTTCAGATTGTATTCCTCGCCGCTCTCGTTGTAAATGATCTTCACATAGTCGTTTCCAATGTGACTTTTCTTTTCGTTGCAATTAGGATCATCCTGCAGATTGGTGGGCATCAGTGTGGCCACGTGGAAGGTGACCTACGGAAAACCATATGGGTTATTTAGAATATCTGAATTAGGGACGAGTTACACCTCACCTGCAGTATGTCATCCTTCCAGATATAGGCAAATTTGCCATCGGCCCCGTTCGTGTCCAGCATGATGAACAGATTGTTCTGCTGCGCTTCTTTTAAGCTAACCAGGGTACCGATGTTCCGAAGGAACTCCACATATCTAGCACTGCCGTGCGAATTGCGCAAGATCTCCACCTCGTTGTTGCACTGACCTTGTCCCACGTACAGCACGCCGATCTTGTGCGTCTCGAATGGCGGAACCAGGTCTATCAAGGTGACGGCGCTGTTGTTTTCCGGTCCCACCTTCAGTGGCACATCTGTCACGCCCAGTTGGCCAGTGCTATAGAGCTGCAGGAATATAAAGCTCGGGTTCATGCACAGCTTGGCGTTGATGGGCGGCTTGGCCGGCCCAAAGTTCCGGAAACTGCTGGCCTGCGACGGACGAGTATTTCCGTTGTTTACCTCCCGCACCACCGAAATGGTTTTCGATCGCCCTCTCATCATGTCTCCGTTTCCGTTGTTGCCATTGTCGTAGTCGGAGGTGATGACCCCGACATTGGCGCCATTGCTACCACTGCTACTTGACTTGGCCAGAGCACCGGGCTGCGGGACAGAGGTGCCTCCGAAGCTGGTTATTCTCCCCGTGGCCAGCAGAGGCGGCTGTCCGGGCGAGAGCGGCGGTTTGCCCAGCTTCAGAGTGGATCCTCCTGCTTGCAGGGTGCCACTCCCCGCCACATGGCTGCTCACATCGTCCGCCGAGTGCTGCTTGGGGGGCAGGGTGCCACTTTCCGGCTGCAGGGCCAGAACAGCAGCCTGCGAGGGCGGCGTGGAGCCTGCGATCTCCTCCGGAATGGCCTCGCAGCTCACGCGCATATCTTTGGTGCTATACTGCACACTCTTCTTCTTTAGAGTCAGCTGCGATTGCGGCTCGTCGGCGGTGCTTTTCACGGGCTCCTGGGACAGCGGCATCGGCTTGTTCGTGAGGAACGACTGCCGCCAGCTGGAGCTCATCTCCGGGCTGGAGTTCACCCGGCGGACGGGATTCCGTGCGCGACTCTGTGCATCCTCGAAGGCCAGCGAGTCATCGTCCGCCTCACCATCACTCACGCTCCCACAGAGAGCAGCCTCCTTGCCTCGCTTTCCGGCTGAGACCCGCGGTATGGGTATAGCAACTGCTGCTCCACTACTGGATGCATTTCCATTGCCATTTCCACCACCATTGCCGTTTCCATTTCCATTTCCTCCGCCAACAGAGTGAATCTCCTCCTGACGCTGGAGGGCTCGAGCCTTGGCCACCATTCGGCTGCGCAGCGCACTCGCCTGTGGGGCAGCAGCTGGATTGGCATTAGCCTCCGGTTCGGGTTCCGGATCAGCCAAAGGATGGGGGGGAGCCTGTATGGTGTTGTCTGGCCCAAACACTCCTCCATGGGCAGTGGGCAAAAACAGTGAGACCACATAGTTGAACGGGAGATCCTGGCCAAAGCAATCGTTAGTGATGGGGTTCTGGATACGGGTTATCCACGAGATGTTGCCCGTGGGCCGACGGATGAGGACCTCCGCCCAACCAGTGCAGGCGCGCACGCAAACCGGCTGCTGCACCACGGATCCCGACGAAGGACTCATGCTCACCGAGGATTGGGACAATGAGTTGCCCAAGAGCGAGGTGTTGCTGCCGGTGTGTGGTCCCTCGTTCAACCCAGTGCCCAATGCCTCGGGGTTTGAGCCTCGACGGGACAACGCGTCCAACGACGCCGTGGAGCTGTTGGAGATCTGTCGGTGCGGATGGCCGCCCGTGGCCGCCGAGTTCGAGGAGGAGGAGGAGGTGAGCTCCGTGCTGCCCGCCGACTCGTTGCCACTGCTGTGCTGCAGGCTCACTTTGGTGTAGCGTCGCTCCCGTTCGGGCGAAAGTGGAGGCGCTGCATCGCTGAGGCTCTTCGAGTTCAGGTTGATGCTGGGGGCCTTGCCCAGCTGGGCACAACGCTCGCAGAGACCGCTGCGCGTGGGTGCCGACGGGCAGCCGGAGGTGGTGATCGTCACCAGGTTGTGGCCCACAAGCCAGGTCTGTGAGACGCCATCCTTAAGCAGAAACTCCGCAGCAGGAAGTCTAAAAAACATAATCCATTATTACAAAGGGTGTGCAAACTATACAAAAACAGGAAGAATAAATTCCGTTCTATCAAAAAAACACCCACCGTTTGGGCATCGACGGACAGGGGGAAAAGGTGTGGCGGTCCAGGAAGTCAAAGCAGGTCTCTGCCAACTCGGCGTGGAAGTTCCGGAGTACGTTATTCATCTGCGGCCGCATCTCCAGATCGTTCCAGGCATTGGCATTATTACGACTGACGCGCTCCGTGAGACTGGTGCTTCGTTTCCGGTTGGACGAGTCCTCGTTCAGAGAGTTAAGGTTCACAATGTCGCTGGACAGCATCTTGGCATTCGACTGAATCGACTGTAATTGAACAGACTCATTTAACCCATGCCCAACAATAAGGATGTTCCTTATACTTACGCTCTTTATGTAGCTCACGCAGTTCTTGCGGAGCTCCAGCTTACATTTGAGGAACCACCCGGCGATGACGTGGTGGGCCAAGGAAACAGTGTAGTGATCGTAGCGATGCGGCTTTGTGTACGGAAGCGTTATGGCAAATACGTACATGTTGTGCATCAGGGTGAAGTTTGCAAACAGATGCTTGGACAGATGTATAAGCACTGCCAAAAAGGGAGAAATAAAATGAAGCTATTTTCAAAAAGGATTTTTAAAGATATCTAAAAGTATTTTTCGAAATATGAAAAAATTCTTAATCAGGCAGTACAGTTTAATGTAATTAACTTATGACCTTATTATATATATACTTACACGACAGAAACTCCAGGACTGGAGTGGCCAGCGCATTAGTGTCCGACATCTTGCTCATTTGGAGCAGGACGTCCGGCAGTTTCCGCATCAAGGCCTCCGGCATCTCCAGAATCAGGATGGTCATGGTGTTGATGCAGACGCTTGCAATGCCAGTGAGAACCCTCGAATTCAAGGCCGTAATAATGTCGTAGTGCTGGTGCGGCTGCAGGCTTTCGTGGTAAATAACTAACGAAGCTACTGCCGGCAACACGAGGGCGTGGAACTCGTCCGTGGGCCGCTTAAACTTGTTGCTGACCGAGTTGATATTGAGGAGCGAGTTGGCAAGCTCCTCGATGTCGTTTCCCTGGACGAGCGCCTTGTTCTGCAGAACCTTGGGCAGCTCCTTTATGACCAGTTGAAACACCTGGTAGTCGGTGTCGTGCTCCAGACAACGCACGATCAGCTTGCACACTCGTCGAATGGAGACCGCTGTGGTGTGAGGCTGCGGCAAAAGGGGTGAATCAATGCCCAGATAGTGGCTAAACTTGATCACCTCGTTGCTGCCCTCCGGATAGCCAATATGGTAGGAGCCATTGGCCCGGGCCTTCAGCAACCAGGCAAATATCTAAAAGGGGAAACCCATGGGACATTAGAATTGCAAATAAGCAACTCGAAATGAATATTATCACTCACTTTGTGGCGCACAACACTGGTGTGCTCGAAAATCTTGGGTAGGTCGTAGTTCAGTTCCAGGTGATCCATCAGAATATTACATATTTTGAGGGCATGGACCGCTGGCATGCGGTGCAACTTGATGGCGAATACCTTGACCAATCCATCAACGGCGGCTATGATATCCGCGATCTCCGACTCATTGTTCACCACGCCCACCGCCACATCCGGTAGAGAGGCGTCTCCAGATGAACCATGACGCGTGTGCTTGAAGGGACGATTGATAAGCGCCTCCAGAATGTCCAGAATGTCCATGCACCGCTTCGTATCGCAGTGGGTGGCAAAGTTGGTCAGGGCCCGGGCAACAGCCACTCTGACCTGTACACTTGGCTCTTGGTGGATCTGCGACAGGTGCACGAGTACCACCCGACTTAGGATCTCCTCCTCGTAGCAGGCACGATTCTGGTCCATAATTCGCACCAGTGCCTCGATCGTCTTGATGCGCACGCTTACATTGGACATGCGGTAATAGCGACGGACGAACTGGGCTAGGACGTTGAGCCAGTCCGGCCGCGTCGCCGTCACTCGGCGGGATCGGTACTCGATGAGGGCGAGAACGGAAGCCTCCGGCCTTCGATCCGCCACTCGCTCGATGAGATCGTAAATAAGCTCGACATTGCCCAGAATCTGGGATCTATCCGTCTGCAACAGCTTCTCGATGCAGTCGATGTTCTCGTGGAAATTGATCTGCAGGTGATGCAGGCGATCCTTGTTTATGTTGGTCGCCTCGTAGTACTCGATGTTGCTAACGATCGCCGACATTATGTCGCAAATCTGGTCCCAAATGATCTCCGAAAGCTGACGCTTGTTGATCACCATGCGTACGCTGAGGATCACCTCAAATGTTACGATCACCTGGCGGCTATCCAGTGCCTAGAGCGATATTATTTTGTATTTTCAAGGTCCAGTTAATAATTGGCATGCTTACCCGCCGGAAGGCTGACAGCACATTCGTTGCATAGGTCATGGGTGAAACCTGGAAAATAATGTTAGACCCGAAAATGTTCATATTCAGGTGAAAGACAGCCCCACGCAACAGGTGCCCGTCGTCGTACAGAGGAGGGTCGTTAAGGATGTTGCACATCATTTTCATGGAATGGTATCCCAGCTGGGTGCCCAACAGATTCTTCATTATCTGAAAATAAGGAATCACAGAATCTTATCACATGATACAATCAATACATATTAAAGTGTTGCTCTGGCGTTTATAATAAAAAATATTCTTTGACATTCTAAAGAACTAAAAACCCAAAACAAAGATATTTAAAATCCATATTTTGTATCATTCAAGATAAGCTTTCTTAAGATATGTAGGTGATTGGTTAAACTGTTTAATTTTTTGGAATAGAATTTTACAAGCCCCAAAATATTTGCTTAGAACGTTTTAAAGCTACACTTTAGTTTCGTTGACATTTGTGTCAGTTTACAATCACATTTGGAAGGAATCAAAATTCAGAAGTCCCCAAAAAATGAAGAAGCAAATCGTGAAGGAGTTTATAACCGTGAAGAAGGTGCTCCGCCTGCCGCCGGACCCACCTCCACCACCGCCACCTCCGAAGCGCCACGTGCTCGCCGTGGGCACGTGCACGCTGGACATGATCACCATCGTGGACCTGCCCCTCACACCTGGCCAGGTGCAGCGCACCAAGGAGGGAAGCTGGCGGCGCGGCGGTCCTGCGGCCAATATCTGCACCGTGTGGCGGCGACTGGGCTTGGAGTGCGAGTTCCTCGGCGTTTTGAGCCAGGTGCGGGCATTCGAGAGTCTGCTATCCGGATTCCAGTCGCAGGGCATCGACATCTCCCACTGCCCGCTGACAAACCACCGTCCAGCCCATCGGAGCATCATTGTCCAGCGTAACGCGGACGATCGCACCATCCTAGAGTTCGCCAACGCCGATCAGGAGCTCACCTATCAGCAGTTCGTGGGCGCCGTCGACTACCAGAAGTACTCGTGGATCCACTTCGAGTGCCGCAATCCCGTCGAGATGCAGCGCATGATCCTGAAGGTGATCGACTTCAACGAGCGCTGTCCCGAGTCGAGGATCGTGCTCTCCGTGGACCTGGACAACATGCGCCCGGCCACCATGCTGATGGCCAGTCTGGTGGACTACGTCTTCGCCCGAAAGACAATGATGCGCACGTACTCCTTCATGAATGGACGGGAGGTCGTTTGGGCGCTCAGGGATGAAATGCGGTCGGCGCGGGCTCAGTGGGAGAAGACGCAGCCCCAGAAAATGCCCTACCTGCCACCCGATCCGCCGGCCGAGGATTCCGACGAAAAGTGCCGTGGTCCGCCGCTGAAAACACCCATCGTCATATATAATAACTACATGAAAGGCGCCAGTTGCCTAATGGCAGATGACACCTATTTCAAGGTGGGCTCCCAAATCCCATTTAAAATCGTGGACGTGAACTCCGTGAATGACACATTTTCTGCGTCCGTAATCTATGCGTTGCATAAAGTCAAGATGCGACTACGGGACGCTTTGGAGTATGGCACCCGGGCATCGGCGCTCAAATTGACCGAGAACGGATTCGAAGTGCTGCGATGCATGCCCAAGGACCTAATCGGTTGTTACTATGCCTAAAACACGATGATTTTGTACATTAAAATATACTTCGATTTGTTTTTTGTTCTCGTTAAAAAGTTTAAAAACTAAATCAAGTGGGCCAAAGTATAATAAGTGAATATTCCCCATAGAGATCGAGTACCAAAATGATGCCCCACATTTGCTAAGCAAAAATTTTAAACCTTGGACTAAGGTCACTTGAAGAGAACTGGGTCGGCGCCCCTAACATTTACCATCGGTATCTTTAAGACCTTGAAATAGTGTTTTCCACCTTAAATTTACAGATTCAATGATCACTTCTTATTTTAGGGTTAATCATCATCATCAACCGCAACATGTTGCGAGATAAGAGGCGCTGAAGTAGAGCCCCCTTAAGTGGTGAAAATATCGAGCCAGATAAAGACTGAGCAGAATACTCATTAGTGTTAATAAACAAATGTCGGAGCAATCTCCGCCAGCGATTGGCAAATGACAAAGTTATCTGATAATTCCCCCGCAAAAGCGAGGACATAAAAAGCGAAGTCAATTCCAATCAACACCGCATTCGACGGATTCTTTGAATTAACGCACATCACACGGAAATGGAGAGTGAGTACGCGAAAAACATATTGCTTCAGCTTAAACAAAGAGTTGTGGATGTTTCCAGATCGCTTATTGGTGTTTTTACTGCTTTTGAGCACCACAGCAGCATCGGTTATCGCATATCCAGATATAGCTTCTATCTGCAGGGTTTCCGATGCCTGGCAAGTGCTGCCCCATAGAGACCACTGCCAGAGGTTCTATGTCTGCACTGGCGACGAGAAGCTGCCCTTCCAGGAGTTTAGCTGTCCCGCGGAGTATAATTTTAGCAAGAAGCTGCGGACATGTGTGCCCGGATCCTGCTCCGATGCGTCCTTATTTTGTGGAACAAGAAATAGTGTAGAGCGGATATCAAGCGATTGCTCGTTATATAGACATTGCTTGGAGGGAGGAGTCTACTACGTGGCCAAGTGTTCCGCCGGAAACTACTTTGATCCTGGCCGCAAGGCCTGCCTGCCCGTGGCTATAACAGCGGCTCATCAGTGCAGTTGTGTGCTGCCGGAAAATGCCACCCTGTCCAATTCCAACGATTGTGAGACGTATTTCCGCTGCCATTCAGGACAAGCTGAGTTGGTGCAGTGTCCAGCAGGAAATTACTTTGATGAGAGAGTGGGCAGTTGCATTCCGGATCACACGGGCATTTGCCTGGAGAAGCCCACAATGCCACCGACGCTGACGGATCAGGCCCTCGCCATGAACGAGTGCATCCGGACGGGCAGCCGTTTGGCGCCGCACAGCCGTGACTGCCAGCGATATTACGTGTGTGCTGAACAACGGGTGCTCGAGATGCGCTGTCCCCGGGGTCAGTACTTCGATGCAGTTCAGCGGTACTGCAGTCGTGATCTGAGAAACCAATGCCAGGAACAGCAGGTGGAGAAACTGGTGCAAGAGTCGGAGAAACTGGAGCAGGAGCAGGAGTCGGATAATCTGGAGCAGGAGCCGGAGGAAGAGGTTGCGCAGCTCGAAACTCTATTGAAAAATACGACCAAAAAGGAGGTGCAGAAGCAGGTTCTGATTGAGACGGCAAAGAAGGAAGAATACCAAGAAAGTGATGGAGTGAATGCCAAGCAGCCACTGGAGGCAGTTAGCAACTACGACAAATTCTCATCCAAGTTCATTTCATTTTAAACTGTTTGTTTTAAGCAAACAATTAAATAAATAAAGCAATATCTAATATAAACAGTTTAAGTAGTAAGCTGTTGACTTAAATTTTCACATATTTAATACACCAATCCTAATTTATTTTATTTTGAAAAATCTGAATTATTTATTAGAATGTTACTTTGATTGGGTTACGTTTACAATTAAGCAAATTACCATAAAGAAAGAATTTAAAAAAAATTGTGCACAACAAGAAAACCAATGAATAAATAAAATCTAAAATCTAAAGCTATTTAGTTTAACATTTAAAGCAGTCAGTTAAGATAACTTTTAAAGTGTCTTTTAACAAAAAAAAAGGTCCAATACTTCATTACCAACGAAAATCAATATTTCATTAAAATATAGTCCAACAACTCACCTTGAATGAGGACGGGCAATATGGGGCATAGTTGACAGTCCGGCACAATGTGGTGATGCACTGCGGCAGCGGCTCGCTGGGGAAAATGGTGTACCCGATGACCATCTCAAGAATTGTGAGGCACTGCAGTCCGATCTCATTCACGGTGACGCTGCAGCTCAGGTCGCAGGCATTCCTGAGAAAAATATAGGTTCCTAAGACAACATTATTGTGTGTGAATGATAGGGTCACCTACTGCACGATGCCGACTAAGATGTCCTTGTCCAGATGTGCGGCATTAAACTTGATCAGGTTGACCAGCATGTCAAGATAGGGGCTGAGCAGATTGGCTTCCGTGATTGCTGGAATCCAGAGCAGCATAAACTTGCCAATCTGTAACAGCAAGGCAGGACATTGATGCAGATTGCCCAGCATTAATCAATCCATGACAGACCTTTTCCTCGAAGTTGGTGATGTCCTTCCCGTTGTCGGTAAGTGTGTCGAGCAGCTCAAGCAGGTGGCGCAGATCCTCGCGTGCCTCATGGTTCTGGATGACCAGAAAGAACTTCTCCCGCATGATGGTCAAGTTCTTGTACTGTGTGTGGATCAGCCGCTTGTAGAAGCTTAAGGCAATCTGGCGCGTTTCGGCCGGCTTGTTGGGCACGATGAGATCGTTGGTGAGATTGAACAGAATGGTGATGGCGGTCTGCAAGGGAGGAGCGGAAAATAAAAATTCTTTACATGGGACAAACCCGACTAAACACACCTCGTCTAGATTAAAGTTGTGCAGCTGCATGTCGCCCAGCTCCTTGAGCATCCTGCAGCGCTGGGCCACCGGCTGCTCCGGCCGCAATTCCCTCTCGAACTCCGGCCGCAGTGTCCGCTCGCCCACGTAACCTGTAAACCCAAATGCACCATTTGAGATCTCTTGACCAGGGAGCACCCTAGAACATTTTCTTTACCTGCCGGCAGCGATTTAAGGAAGAGCTTGAACTTGGACTTGTCCTTAGAGCTCATGGTGGTGGGATCTTCGCAAGGGGCGGTGGTCAGTGAAGCAGTGACGGAGAGAGTGCAGGTGCAACCCGTAGTTCCTAGCCTAGGTCCTGATAAAAATGATTAACTTTTTTGTGGTTCAAGTGACCACTCTACCAGTAAGTAGTGTGGTTTTATTCGGCCGCCCTCTTGATTACAAGGTAAACGCTATACAAATTTAAGTGGAACTAGTACGACGCGCACTTTTCCGCTGAATTCTTATTATTCTTATATTCTTATTTTTATTTTTGTCCATATTTTTGACTCCATACCAGGCTGAATTAGAGGTGGGGCCAGAATTAGAGGTGGAGAAACAGCGATGATAAAATCGATGTCATCGATGTTTTCAGAACATCGGTAACATCGATGTTTGTCTGTGTCCAGTTCTTGTTTACTGTTATCAATTTCCCTCAACCGCACCTCGCCAATAAGATTATTTATTGCTAAAATATATCGCGAAAAGTTATGAATAAGAAGAAACTGGGCAATTTTTCGGAGGAGCAGCAGGGATCTTTGGAGGATACAGCATCAGATAATAATTCTGTAAGTAAAAACGCAATGTTTATTAGAAATAATCAAATATTTTGCTATGACTCAGCCCAGCAGCGATTCCGAATCCGACACATCAAAACAAATTAGGACTATGAGAGAGCTTAAGAAAACTATTGAAATCAATCAAAGACAACTCCGAGATCTGGGTGAAAAATTAAAAGAAGCTGAAACATTGGTAAATTTTTACAAGGAAAAATGTAAGGACAAAGACGAGCTGATTGCTTCCTTAAAAACATCAATCGAGTTGAGCAGTGAAACTATAAAACTAATTAAAAGTCAAAAGGCAGAACTGCAAACTTCTCTGCCACTTCACAACAACTTAAACATACCAAAATTGGATGGGAAATCCTACCAACCTGAGCGATATGCCTTCAAATATGGCTTTAAAAAATCTCGAATCTAAAATTAGAGAGAAAGAGATCATGCTGGAGAAACTGGAAACTAAAGTAGAAACAGACGGCAATATCATATCTAATCTCAAGTCCCAAATTAGAGATAAAGACATTCTACTGGTCAATTTCGAAGACAAAGCCCAAGCGGACAAAAATGAAAACAAAGAACAAAGAAAGGCAATATCAGGGTTAGAAAATAAAATATCAGAGCTAGAAGACAAACTAAAGCAAACAAATGAAAATCTAGCAATATACAAGAAACAAGGATCTGCTGAAGAAATGGTTGCAAGTTCGCCAATGATTTTGTTTAACTACACGAAAACATCAATGGAAATATTTAAAGCACGCAATGTAGAAGCCCTTCATAAATTGGATTTGATTAATTTAACTATAGGTTCTGGATGGATAGTCGTACAGAAACATTTTAATGATGGTGAGGACTTTGACACTCCAGTTATTTCGAAAATTTCAGATAGCTTTCAAGACCAATCATTGGGTACCCCAGAGGAGAGTTTCTGGCTTGGCTGCGAGTTATTGCACAAAATAACAACGGGACGGAGGCACGAATTATACATTTTACTTTCATACTTCAATGGTCATCAAATATATGCCCTATACGATGACTTTGTTGTGGGTCCGGGTCCAGACTACAAATTGAAATCCCTGGGTAAATACGAGGGAGACGCTGGCGACGGGCTTCGGAGTCATGAGAATCAGAAATTTCGTAGTTACTCACTAAGTTCGGAATCGGTTTGCTCTCGATGGTGGGAAAGTAAGGACGACGGATATTTGTGAGTATCATTTCAAACTGTTTAACACATTTTTTAAATCAAAAACTTTTATTTTTATAGCAATTTGAATGTACCATATAGAAATGGGAAACTTTATATAGAACCCAACGAGTTCGTATGTGCCAGTAGAATGTTTATAAGACCGCGGACATAGCTTGCAGTTTTAAAAGACTCACCAATTAAGACGGGTGGTATTCACTGAATTAAATTTGATACCTGTATCGATGCGAAAACTTTTTATGTAATTTAAAAAAGTGAAATTGTTAATATGTAAATTGTATTATCTTCTGGTATGAAAATATAAATTTCATCAAAGGCATTTTAGTTCTTAGGATGTTTTAGTAGAAAATAATAAAAGAAAATCGATAACTAAAACATAGAAAAGACATCGATGTTTTCCGTCTTTTCTATGTTTTAGTCTAGTACTCAGATCGAAAAACGATCATTTAAAGGAAAACTCAGTGGCCACTAAGCTATCGATAGTTCAATGGCTATCTACCACAACGATGTTTTCCCACCTCTAAGGAAGGGTATTAAATTATTATTAAGATCGATGTCATCGATGTTTTCAGAACACTGAAGTTTTTCTATTACTCTGTTACAAACAACGTTTTCCTAATTTATGTTAAAGAGCACCTTATAGGTGGAGGAAAACATCAATGTTTGGAGGGGCATCAATGCAACCTCTAAAAACAAATAAAATATTGGATTAAGTCCCCGCTAACTATAACGTTGGTTTCTACTGCTTGGTGTCTCCGCTAACGTCGATGTTTTTATCTCTAGCGGGTATTCAAACCAAAAACTGCTCAATTTTAAATGTTTATTATTGAATTGATTATAATATAACGCGGTGAAATTAGCTTCCCAGCTGCTTATCGACGAAATAGGAAAATCGAACTCCAAATTAAATGAAAAAATATTTTGTTAAACAAATATAGAATGTAAAAATTAAGGAAATTTAGAAATGCCAATATTTATTTTTAATCTGGGATGTTATATATGCCTAAGCATGCCTAGGCCTTAATCGAACGCTTGTCCCTTAGTTTTATTTTATTTTCACTGGAGGTTACCCATAAGAACAATTATTTTAGAGGACAAAAAAAACTCAACGCAAATGTTTTGTTATCTACAAATTTGCTTAACATCGATAAAGTTATTTATAGCCTCCAAATGACAAAAACCTGCTAATAAACATAAATAGCGAATATGATCCAAAATCCTATTGTTAATTTCGCGTTTGACAGGTATAAAACCTTTTTTTGTACAAGTTATGGATATTTTCCCTTTTTTACTGGAATAAAATATTTATTTTCTTACGAGGAACTCTTTCTTATTTTAACATTAATATAATAATAATATTTTTAATTAATGTAATGATCGATTAAGATAAATACATTATTCACGAATTTTGTAAAGAAACTGAAGCGAAACGATTTATATTTAGGATCATTTCATCAAAATGGATTTGGCCTGATAAACATTTTACACGATTTTAGACAGTGTCTTTCCCTCATATTCAGATAGCCCCACCGTTGACATTTGATAGATGATTTTGGCTTGCAAAATATTCACCATTTAAGTTACTCAAAAAAAAAAAATTAAATTAAATTCGAACAGTTTGATGGTGTATTTAATTACCATTCAGATTTGTCCCAACAATAATAATAATAAACTTTAATCAAATAAATTCTTTAAGGCATAACTTTCAACCTTGCTTACAACTAAAATGTAAAAATAATCATATCTCGTTCAATATATATCATCCAGATCACCAAAACCGTCTTCATACTCCATACACCCCTGGCCAAAGGAGACACTTCCATTATTTTGACTCTGGATGGCCATCCAACCTGGAAAGGCGGAAGGGATACCCTCAAAGCAGTCTGCAAAGTCATCGAGGAAGCCTGGCCAATTTACTCGTAGAGATCTTGGTGCAGTTGGAAAACACCAATGGATCTGTGATATTTTGCAAGCTCTATACTTCTGAAGGGAACTCAGCAAGTTTTTGATCATTTTCATTAAGCATTGCTTTATCCAATTAGCTTGTTCATCTTTGTCTCTCAGATTGTTTTTTGAATTCTGCAAGGCTATACAAATGACTGAAAAATGGAATGCAATCCTTTTTAACTAACAAGGGATAGGCAAAAGGTTACAATTTCGTATTGCCCACAGATCAAGTGGGCTGAACCCCCTCAATTGAGTGATATCAGGTCCAAAGCCATGCACAGATTATCGTCGGCAGACACTTGGATCGTATCATCCTCCAAAGTGACATCGAGTACACCGTTTATAAGTTGGAGCGTTCTCCGGGCTGTCTGCCTACGTCATAAATCAGCCACGAAGCTGACTTGACTTGAGGCGGCTGTATTTTGTTGTGCTTTGACGGTTCCTTCTTGTCGATTGGGCCCGTTGATTTATAACAAGTTGCTGCTGGTGCTGCTTCTTCTCCGGATTCGTTGTTTGGCTTTAATTGCTTCTGGCCGTTAGTATTGTATTGATACAAGGTTAATCAATTGCACTAGGCGGCGGGCAGGCACAGGGTCTTGTATCGGAAGTGTTATTTGCGACTTTGGATGATTGGCCATCCGTACACGATTGTAGCTGGTTCCCGGCCAGTGCAAATGTGAATTAATGTCTTTGCTCTTTTACGGCATTCCCTCCCGGCTATTAAGAGTCCCCATCGGCCAATTAGCCAATTAGCCATAAACGGCAGTCGTCTGGACCAAAGTCTGAGCCTTCTATTTATAACGAGTGCCTGATTTTATCCCGGTCCGCAAGACACGATGACTGGCTGGTTAGAATGGCGATCGCGATTGGCACGCATGGCAGGTGTAATAGCCGGGTCTGGGGACTATTTTTATCGGCCGAACGAAAGTGAACATCACATTTATAGCTTCGCAGTCGCGGCTTCAACCGGTATGTGTCTGAGATTTTGAGTCTGAGTCTGGTTCTCCGTCAGCCCATATATATTTTGTACTTTTGTTCTGTTTCGCCAGTCGCGCACATGCGATTATTGTGGCTTTGTTTTTAGTTGTATTCCATTTATTCTATGCGTAGTCGTCGACCGCCGTCCGCCGTCCGCCGGAGTCCCAGTATAAAATCAGCATAATCGGAAATTCTACCCAGCAGTTGGTTCTAAGCCATCGACGAGGCCGGTCGTCCATCGCGCTATTGGTCTGGAATAGTTGATCGTTTCTCGATTTTCTACGCCCTTCGACCTCGGGTAATTGTGCAATTCGTGTGTGAAAATAACAGATTGCAAGATTTACACACCAAGCAGTGAAGTGAAAATCGCCAGCTTATACTGTAGCCCGTTATTCGCATCTACTTAAGTGGTATATGAACATAAGAAGGTATGATTTCGCGTTGTTCTATTTATGCGCGTTCGCTTCCTAAGTCTTTTGTTTCGCGTGGCGCTGAAAGGAAGCAAATTCGCTTGGCTAAATGAAATCGAAATTTAAATCAATCTTTATCACAACTGGATTTGGCACGCTCTCTAGATGTCTTATATAGCCCCGCTTCGGTTTCCCTCTTCCTCGAGAACTTCCGCATGCAGTCCAGTATAATTTGGATAATTTTAACCATTTTCGGCAACCCTGTGAACTGAACAATTTTTTGCAAATTTAATGAATGTCTCAAGAGTCGCATGCATAAATATTGTGGCCATTTAAATCTGAATAAATCGTAGTAATAAATAATGGAACAAATGGAATAGCTTTTAAAGTAATTAAATGAACTTTTTCACTTCTTTTGCTCAAAGTAAAGTTAATAAAAATAGATTTTATCATTTAATTATCAGCAATAAATTAACTGCATTAATTTGCCACTTTAAGTTAAAACGGCTAATAATAGAAATATTTTTGTTCGAAGCATCGGGATAACAAATAATTATGATAAGAAGTTACGTTAAAAACCCATTCCATTCATGGGGCATTACACAGAGAGAATTCCGACATTCTGAAACTGAGAATCGAATATTCAAAATGTTTTGAGTACACATTTTGGTCTTAATTTTTTCCCATTTTTAGTAAGCTAAGTAAATTGAAGAACTTATAGATTTTTTAATCAAATATACTCAAGCGAAGTGCAATATACTTAGATAATTCTCTCTGTGTATAATTCTTAAAATGTAGTTTCCACACAATGCGGAGGTATTTCATCAAAACACAATTCTCACCTATCCAAATTGATTAGTCATTTCGTTTTATTTTGCGTCTCCGAAAGATTTGGTACCATAGCAATAAATTAGCATAATTTGGTCAATATTATTTAATGCTAAAATGTTGAAATTAGTCGTCTCCATGCCGCCGAAGCCAAAACAAAGCCAAAAACAGCCAAAGGTGAACAAACTGAGGAGGCCTGAGCTCGGCTTCTGTGTAAAGTGTCTTGGCCAAAAGCTTGGGGAACTGGTTCAAAGTCGAGGACGTCATCGGCGAAATCGAGAGTGTGGAGAGGGCCGGTCCACAGACCGGGTTAGGACTTACATGGCATGTCTCTTACCATCTTACCATCTCCTCTCTCGCCCCAGCCGCCATTCGAGATGTCATCGAGTCGCCTCATTAGCTTCGGCCTGCTCTTCCTGGTCACTTTCGGCCACGTGACGTCACAGCGCACGTCACTGGACGTGGCTCTCAAGAATGTCTACCGACCACTGCGCCTCCTGGGCCTGGCCTTCACCGGGAGATCCGGCGACGATCCACAAAACGTGCAGCGCGTGCAAATCGCAGGGGTAAGTCCAGCGGATAATGCACTCATTGATCCGGATTCGATGGGGTTCGATTTCACTCGAATTGCGGCCAATGTACTGTTATTTCGTTTTAAGTGACCAAGTGTCACATCGCTCTTTAATGGAGGTGTTTTATGTATATGAAAGGTCCCAATTATTGGGAACCATTTATATCTTGATATAAATAACAGTATTTGGGTTTAGTTATGTTATTTTGACTGATGGTTTGTATATATAGAAGATTTATCAGGTTGGTTCCAAGATTAAAAAGCCGATATAACATTTTAAATAAAAGTTATTTAAACAGTGTCACAGTAATTTTTATATCAAAGGTTAGAACAGTCAGTTTTCATTTAATATTCACTTACAAATAAATTTAAAATACCTAGAAAAAAAAAATATATAGAATGAAGACACTTGCAAGGAAATTACAACCGAATTTGTTCACATTTTATTTAAAGATGAAAAATGCTAAGTTACTCTTTTTGGGTTGTTAACTATAAGAGAGAGGGAATTAATGTTATTTACCATTCTTTAATTTTTGATAAAAAATATGGTTTATCAAAATGATTCCTATTTTCTGAAGTCATTTGGTAGTAAATTCAACTTTGCATTATTTTAAACCACAATTGGCGAGGCGAGAAGATGATTTTGATACTAATGGCCTGATTTCGGTCCCTGGCAGAAAACGCAGAAGTCGAACCCCCGCACCCGAGCCCTGCTGGAGTTCTGCGACGCGGAGCACGGGCCGGGAAAGCGGAGCCAGGAGCGACCGAGCAGTGTGCACCGGCTGCGACCCGGGGACATCGATGTGATCGGGGCGATGGGCGACTCGCTGACCGCCGGGAACGGCATCTTCGCCACCAATTTGCTCCACGTGACGGTGGAGAACAGGGGCGTCGTGTGGTCGATTGGGGGGCAGTACGACTGGCGGAAGTACCTCACGCTGCCGAACATCCTCAAGGAGTTCAACCCGAACCTCTACGGATACGCGATCAAGGACGGCATCTCCACGGACCGCACCTCCCGCTTCGACGTGGCCGAACTGGCCGCCATGTCCAGGGACATGCCGTACATGGCCAAGGTCCTGGTGCGGCGCATGCAGCGCGATCCCAAGGTGAACATGACCGCCGACTGGAAGCTGATTACCCTCTTCATCGGCAACAACGACTTCTGCACGGACATCTGCTACTATCCGGAGCCGGAGAAGACCGTCGACTGGCACGAGCGGAACATGCTGCGCACCTATCGCTACCTCAGGGACCACGTGCCACGCCTCCTCCTCAACGTGGTGCCCGCCCCCAATCTGCGGTTTCTCACCAGCCTCTCGGGTCTGCCGCCCACCTGCTACAGTACTCTCCGCTTCGAGTGTCCCTGCCTGATGGGCAAGGGCAAGGGGCAGCTGGACTACCTGGAGGGCATCATGAAGCGCTGGATAGCGAGGGACTACGAGATTGCCAATAGGGACGAGTTCAACACAGAGGTAAGACTCACTAATATTCTATCATTACTGTCTGAAATCGTTTTCTTTTTGCGGGATTTTATCTGAAAAAGTGTAGGGTATATTCCATTCTATTAAGTATCTTATATTTGAAAGCAGAGAGGTCTAGTTTTGAAATTAAGAAGCTGTTCTCTTAGTTTTTCTTTCCCTAACCCATTACTTATGTACTGAATGTACAAATTAATAGCGGATTTCAGTCAACACTCTTATAAACAATGAGCTTCTGTTATTTTGATATGTGTACTTTATGCCAAATTTGTTATTATGATGCCAAATAAGTATCTTATCTTAAGTTAGTTTTATAATGAAAACTTTATTGACCTAACCCAATACAATCACATTATGAGATAAGTTAAATCGCAAGATATTTCAGTGGCAACCAGATGAAAAATTACTGGTTTCCAGGCTTTTCCTTTTCTTTGAGATCCCACCTTTTAAAACGATTATTCCTTCTCCTGTTTCAGACCTTTACGATAAACGTGCAGCCGTTCTCGCAGTTCCAGGACTTTCCGCGCACGCGATCCGGCCAGACGGACACCCGGTTCTTCTCGGAGGACTGCTTCCACCTCAGCCAGCGAGGACATGCCTCGGCGGCGAACTCCATTTGGAACAACATGCTGGAGCTGCCGGGGGAGAAGAGTGGATTCGCCACCCACCTCTTCGAGACCTTCCGCTGCCCCACGGAACAGCGCCCCTTCATCATCACCCGGGAGAACAGTCGTCCGGAGTTTGTGATCTAACCCAAAGTCGGCCCGACTTCTCCGCTGTGAATTACCCCCTGTGATATCGCGCCTAAGTCTTTCCAAGTTTGCTTATATCTGTATGTTTGTAGTGTAAATTAGCCACATGCTAAGTGTAAATATTCGATGAGAATCGGCAAGTCAAATAAAATGATATTCTTGAATTACGTGAGTGAATTTTGCATGGCGGATCTCCAAGTTACTATCGTAAACGGTGGGCACGTGGACTTTTTTAGCAGAATTTGCAAGACTTCGATGGCAGTTGACATCGATTACAAGGGATCCATAATAATGAGGCAGCATAGCGCCTAGGTACATAGTTATTTATATGCTCAGCTCAAGAAATTCATAAAGTTTCTGCCAATAAAATACTATCAAATCTACAGTTGAATCAAAACCAAAATTTGAATATCATGATAAAATACAGAGAAGGCTGAGAATAAATAACGAAAATGATTTATAATTTTACAAAGCAACTTATGTTGTTTAATATTAATTCAGTAAAGAAGGGTTTAGAATAACCCGATTATGATATAATTTTTTCTAGAAATATATTGTGTGTTTTTTCGCTGGTGTAAGCTGGCAGTTATTAATTTTCTCACCCTTACGAATAAAGCGTAAAAAATGAATCACCCATTAAGGAGCAGCAGCAAGGCAGTCATATATATTTAATAGATCGCTTAACTCAAATTTATTGTAAATATATAATTGTTTACAGTTTAACATAACCATTAAAAACAATACTCCGGTACCTGAAATAAATGAAGTAAATTAGTCACTCAATATTTGTTTAATCTCAAAATAAGAGCACCTCCTAAATAATGAGATAAAGCTAATGAGCATGTGAAAACGAGACCCTAATAATAATGTTAATTATGTGTTGGCTGTTGTTATAATCGCCTTAACAAATCGTTTCTTTTGTGCCTCAAAACGGAGTAAATCACTCACCTCAGCGAATAGAGTAAAAAATAAATAACCCATTAAGTGCCGGCAATAAGGCAGTCATATTATTTTAAACACATCTCCCAGCTCGTTATAAAGTTGCAAATCACCCCGTGATAAGCGATAAGAGCTGCCTGCTGACACACGACAAACAGTCCGTAGATGGGCGCGTCATAAAACCAGTTACAATTTATTTTCCCAGTCAACGAGGCGCACGCACCAGCGAACATCAATAAAGCCGGACTATAATTGTAGTTTAATTCGGTGGCCGGGCATAAAAAGCGAATTGCCGCGTGAGTACCTGATTCCGAGCGAAAACACAGCTCCGCCTCCAGAATCACCCGCTCAACGGTTTCGCTTGCCGGTGCTAAAAACTAGCAACAAACATTCGGTAAATAAATAAAGAAAACAGCCAAACAGCAACGTCAATTATCGCATTTATTTCGAGAGCTTATTGCAGCATTTCAAAGCCGGCGCACTGTCATTGACTTTGAACTTGAGCCCCGTTTCCCCCGCATATCGGTCAGCACATTTTTGGGTCTCCAACTTTTAGGTTTTACACATGCGTACATATATGCAAAACATGGTCAACGAGTTTTCGCATTTTTGTTTAATTTTTCCATTTCAAGCACAAGGTTTGGAAAAGTGCCTCCAAAACTAATTATCATACTGCTTTTTTAGATATCCTTTTAACACACCTTTTAAAAACATAAAAATATATATTTATAAAAAAACTGGGTATTACGAATTTTAATTTATTTTCAAAAAAAAACTTACAGCATTGCTTGAGTTTTTTTTTTATTTACTTAAAACAAACGACAATTTAGATTCCCTTCAAAACGTAAAAATGATAGCTAGTAATAAAAAATACAACAATCTAAAATTGGAAAATGCAAATTTTATCTAATAATAATTGTTTTAACATCCCGTAAATAAACAAAATGTGCTAGGCTAATGATATTTACATTACCTCAATTAATTCTCCGCTCGTAAAGATCTAATTGCAGTGACATCAATAAAATCCGGGGACTGCTGACCCATTTTAATGAGAGCTGGGGATAAATACACAAGTATCAATCAATAGATGATGATTACATTAAGTCACAGGCTGCAAATATCAAAGGTATCAAAGTTACCTGTTTTGCATAAGACTTTGTTTAGAGTATTAATTCAAACTTGTTTGCTTTGGCGCCAATTAAATCATGATCTAATAGCCGAGACACTGAAAAGCAAGGACACACACCGATAATTTCCCGAGCTTGGCCTAAGCATATCGATAGTAATTTGAAATGTTGATTGTCTATATTGATCACCGATTTTTAGTACATATTAAATTTAAAATTTGGCGCTTAAATTTCCATTTAGGTTTCGGCAATAAAAAGGAAAATTTAAAAGCTTTAATTCAGTAAGATTGAAACATTCTAAAAGGTTTTTAGAGTTATATATATAATTACCATATATATTCGAATAATAATTTTTTTTTAGTTTAAGTATTTGGGTGTAGAAAATTAAAAATTATAATTATAATTATAAATATTATAATTGTAATTAAAATTGTAGTATTTAATTAACAATAATAAAATCATCATATAGATAGCAGTTTGCTTCCTAAGGTCTTTGGCATAACAAAGTTTTAAAAAAGTGGTTTCAGGTATTTTGGTAATGAAGCGAATGACCGTAACAGGTGAACCAGAAAACCGTTGACAAAGAGTTCTTGAATTTTTCTGCTTACCTCGCACTCTGAATATTATAAATTGCGATACACTTTACCCCGAGCTGCGCATTTGCGGAAATTTCAAGTCATGAAAGACGACAATCAACGACCTAAACTCCAAGCGGTGGCACTAGTTTTCTTGTTGGGTAAGGTTCTGTTTTCCTCAGAAATATCAGGTGTGCCAAAGTAATGTCTTGCAGCCAAAAAAAATCAAATGTGGACTGGATCGGAGTTTTAAAAACCCACATATTTATGTATTTATTTAGTCAAGCAATAGTTATTTATGTATTATTGTATTTAATGAATTATATATTTTCTTAATTAGTCTTACAGCTCTGCTTAGCCCTGCCCTATGGTTCCTCCTCTGGCAACGACATAGACATCGATGGGAACTTCCCAAGCTCCGGCGGTGGACGACCGGTGGACTATCACACGGTGGTGGGCCACTTCAAGGACTTTTTCATGTACCTGCCCGTCATGATGACCACCCTGAAGGAGACCATGTCGGGATTCCCCAAGTTCGCCGAGGGAGTGCGCATCCTGACTTCCGGCAAAGGACGAATCGATGGCGAGGACTGTAAGTGCGGCCAGAATGGACTAGCAAGCGGGGAACTTTCGGACACTGGTAGTCGATTCGGTTGATCCAAATCGAGAGCTGTGCCACCACCATTGTTGATACTGTACATAGGCATACCGCACCAATAAATGAGAATTGTCTGAGAAATATGGAACATAAACATTCAAATTTATGTGTTACTTCAGCTCGCTGGTCTTATTTTATTGCATGCAGTTAGTTGTTTTCAAAAATCTCAAGTGCCACTCTGCAAATTGTGTGGATTGTCCGAAATCAGCGGCAGCAAGAAATGGTTTCAGATTTTGAAGAGAATTTGAAACCACTTGAAAGAAAAAATAAAAAAGTAAGGTCTGCACAGATACACACTTCTAAATTTGTATTCAATATTCATTGTTTTTTGAAACAAAGTTATATTTTTTTGTTAGTAATTACTTAAGGACGCAATTCTTTTCTAGGTAATATAACTTTAAAATAGTCACCATATTATTATACAATAATATATGCAGTAAAAGCCATAAAAATAGCATGTGGTAATTATTATTTCATAGCCATGAAGCGAAACTATCGACAACAAATGATTTATTTGTTTGCCAATGACTTTGGGTTATAGTTACCCAATAGGAAAATCAATTCGTGTCACTGGATTGGGGACATGTTCGAATTCAAGAATCCCGAGAAGCTTCCATGCCCTTGAAAGGAGAAAATTGGTTAGACAATGACTATGCAAGACACTCATAACCCACTTTGGCTGGACTTGAACTACATGTGTGCGTAAATTTCCAGGTATTTTCTTAAGCTATTAGCCGACTTATTAGCCGGAGTCCTGGGAATGCTCGCAACCTGCACGGGCTCTGAATAGAGTGGAGTCTAATCAAAGCCTCGAATCTGCATACGGGGGTGGTCAGCCCCCGAAGTGCCCCTGCCTGCTGACCCACTGTCATGTTTGCACTTGTCATTATTGTTAATTGTATTTGCGGGGTGGCCGAGCTTGCATGGGCTCTATTTACATAGCACTCCGAATGGCCGAGGCGGGACAAGAGTCGAAAACTCGAAGTGGCCACTTTCCGTTTCAGTGAGGTCCGCGGCGTTGGAAGGAACGCAACAGCATGCCCAGGAAGCGCAGGAAGCGGAACCACTAGAGAAGCCACCGGAAAGGACACCCTCTTGCCCAGGAACAGTACAGGACGATGGCCACTGGCATCGAGCTGCTGCTGGCCGCCGCCCTCTGCGCCGCCTGTCCACCGCCCAATGGATCCCTGCCGGCGAACCTCATCCTGCTGGGCGAGGACGGCGGCCCATCCACCGAGCTGCCCATCGACCTGGACACCACGGATGCCGGAGTGGACGAGGACATCGGCGAGGAGACGCTGGAGACCATCATCAGCAAGAAGCCGAAGCTGCACGAGATGCGCGAGTGGATCGGGGGCAAGCACCTGCGGATCGCCACCCTGGAAGACTTTCCGCTCAGCTACACCGAGCTGCTGGAGAACGGCACCCGCATCGGCCACGGCGTCTCCTTCCAGATCATCGACTTCCTCAAGAAGAAGTTCAACTTCACCTACGAGGTCTTCGTCCCCCAGGAAAACATCATCGGCTCGCCCAAGGACTTCGATCGCAGCCTCATCGAGATGGTCAACAGCAGTGTGAGTAGTCTGGCGGGGATGTGATGTGGACAATCCCATTGCTTAGCATTTTGAAGAATTTTAATTAGTGAGAATAGCAGTGGTCACAAATCGATTGAGGGCTTACTTATCACCCTCATTACATAAGTACATTTTGAAAAATCTATTTAGCTAATTAAGAATAATAGAAAAGTAGTCTAAAAATAATCTTAGTAAAGATAAGGCAAACTTATCATACTTTCCATAATAACATATATTTGTGGTCGATTTACGAATTCTCATCCTGGGTAATGGTCTTTTTCTAAAATATAATTTGGAATGTATACAAACATAATATATATCGGAAGACTTTTTAATAACATACTAAAGTTAAGTTTATCTGAGAAAAATATAATTTTATAAACAGATTATTGAAATTTTTAAAATTCTATTATAGTGTTTGAACAATTATATTGTATAAGTGCACAAATCATTATATTATTGATTTATATAAATACTTGCATTTTAATAGATTTCGCTTACCCATTATTATATATTTAAAATTGGTATGGAAAACTTATCATACTTTCCATAATAACATATATTAATGGTAATGGTCTTTTTCTAAACTATAATTTGGAATGAATACAAATACAATATATATTGGAAAAGTATTTTTAATAAAATGCTAGTAGGGCACATAAAGATAAGTTTGTCTAAGGAAAATATAATTTTTAATCAAGTCTTTTTTAAATAATTACAGTTTTAAGCTATCTAAAAATAGCAAAAAAGTTAAAAATGGTCATGAATTTAGTTTAGTTTCGGGATAGTAAGAACCCATTTTGAATACACAATACTTTAATACACATTTTGTATACACAATACTTGAATACCCATTTGGAATACACAATACTCTACTACCCTGCAGGTGGTGCACCTGGCTGCGGCCTTCATACCCTCGCTCTCCGACCAGCGGAGCTTCGTGTACTACTCGACCACGACGCTGGACGAGGGCGAGTGGATCATGGTGATGCAGCGGCCGCGGGAGTCGGCCAGCGGGTCCGGCCTGCTGGCGCCCTTCGAGTTCTGGGTGTGGATCCTGATCCTCGTCTCGCTGCTGGCGGTCGGGCCGATCATCTACGTGCTGATCATCCTGCGGAACCGGCTGACCGGCGACGGCCAGCAAACGCCCTACTCGCTGGGCCACTGCGCCTGGTTCGTCTACGGGGCGCTGATGAAGCAGGGCAGCACCCTGTCGCCCATCGCAGGTGGGTGCAATTAGGTTAAAGTGCAATCGGCGGCGGAGATAGCCATCGCGCGGCGCTAATGGGTCCTCTGATTGCAGTTGCATTCGCATGCCGCCGTTTGGCCGCAGTTTGTCGTTTCATTTAACTCATTGGGGCCCATTTCAGACTCGACCCGGCTGCTCTTTGCCACCTGGTGGATTTTTATCACGATACTGACCTCCTTCTACACGGCCAACCTGACCGCCTTCCTCACCCTCTCCAAGTTCACGCTGCCCTACAACACGGTCAACGATATCCTGGCCAAGAACAAGCACTTCGTGTCCATGCGGGGCGGGGGGGTCGAGTATGCCATTCGAACGGTGAGCGGGAATCCCTGGGAGGAATTAATTGGTTAGAGCAGATGGAAATCAGATGTGAAATATCAATTCGATTTAATTAGGTTTTGTTTTTAATTCGACTGCATTTTACGGTGTAGAAGTAAGGGGGAAAATAATGGAATTGCTAAGTCTTATACAAAGCAATCACAATATGAATTACTACGGTGGTCAGTTAGAAGTATTTCACCTTACAAAATAGTGAAAAGTATTATTATTACCATTTTAATATTAAATTATAGAGTTTGAAAGTTCTTAAAATCAAATTCGCCAACGAAAGATTCAGCAGCTTTCAAAACTTTTTAAAAACCGATTTTTGTAATGTTTAACAATTAATTAATTATTAATGATTTATATAAATACTTGCATTTTAAAAGTTTTGGCTTACCCAATATTATATATTTAAAAAATCCAGAGAGTGGTGAATTTCGCTGGGAAATATTGTTGTCTTACCCTTCCATTTCGTTCCATTCCAGACCAATGAATCCCTGTCCATGCTGAACCGGATGATCCAGAACAACTACGCCGTATTCTCGGACGAGACCAACGACACTTACAACCTGCTGAACTACGTGGAGAGCAACGGCTATGTCTTCGTGCGAGATCGGCCGGCGATCAACATAATGCTGTACCAGGACTACCTGTACCGCAAGTCCATCAGCTTCAGCGACGAGAAGGTCCACTGTCCGTTCGCCATGGCCAAGGAGCCGTTCCTGAAGAAGAAGCGCACCTTCGCCTATCCGATTGGGTCCAATCTGAGCCAGCTCTTCGATCCGGAGTGGGTGAGCGGAGGGATAACACCTCATGGATGATCCGATTTCGCACTTTGCAGGCTCCTCAACCTCGTCGAGTCGGGCATTGTGAAGCACCTGTCGTCCAAGGACCTGCCCAGTGCCGAGATCTGTCCGCAGGACCTCGGCGGCACGGAGCGGCAGCTGCGGAACGGCGACCTGATGATGACCTACTACATCATGCTGGCCGGCTTCGCCACCGCCCTGGCCGTCTTCAGCACGGAGCTGGTGTTCCGGTATGTCAACAGTCGCCAGGAGGCGAACAAGTGGGCGCGCCACGGGATCGGACGGACGCCCAATGGTCAGTCGGTGGCTCCATCCCGCTGGCTCCGCGGCTGGCGGCGTTTGGACAGTGGACACGGTCAGCTCCTGGGCGCCTCCACCCACAACCAGAACGTCACCCCACCGCCGCCGTACCAGAGCATCTTCAACGGCGGAAGTCACGGCGACGGGGATCCGCTAAACCGATGGCGTCGTCCCCTCGGACACGGCAACGCCATCGGCACTGGAGTCCTACTGGGCGGCGATTCCGAGAGCGGTGTCCGGCGTCTGATCAACGGACGCGACTACCTGGTGTTCCGCACTCCCAATGGTCAGAGCCAGCTCGTCCCGGTTCGATCGCCCTCGGCGGCCCTCTTTCAATACAGCTACACCGAGTAGAGCTAAGATCATAGGCAGTGATGGGGAAGTACTTTGTTTTTAGAAAAGATAATCGCTATGTATCGATTTAATAATCTAAATCAAACAAGCGTTGTTCTAATGGTTGCGAGTTCTGAATGTTTGTTGTTTTAAATTCAATTTATTTTTAGATAATATAAAACACAGTTCAGAAGCGCGGCGTTCTCAACTAATTTTTGTGTTATCTCAAGTCAGTTCTGAATAAACATAAAAGATTGTCCGAGTCTTGGGACTGACAAATAACCCAATAAAATTTCATTTTAATGAATATTATTACAGATCACTAGACAATTCCCATCACTGTTAATATGTACTTGCAAAACACCTCTAACCACCGCACTCAAAACGTAGACATCCAAAATGTATTAATTTTATAGAAATATATAAATAAAATGCACTAAATAAAACAAAATAGCATTTTCTGGGATTAATACAAAAACAAATTAATATTTTTTTATTTCAAAATTAAACA